AAAAAAAAAAAAAAAAAAAAAAGAGTAGGAACAGCAACATTAATCAGGGAGCTTCCTACTATTCAGAGCAGTCCTAGTGCACATGAAAGAAACAACATAAAAGCACTCAGTAACTCCCAACAAGAATGTGAATCTTAATATACTAATAAACTACTGCTTGCATATGTTGTTATCAACAATTTCAAAAAAGTACTCCACTAAACTACCTGATTAAGTCAGCAATAGATATAATCTTGAGGTTTTCTTGCTGAACAAATTGCCGAAGCTTAGGTAATCTAGCCATAGAACCGTCATCATCAACAACCTCACATAGAACTCCAACGGGATCTAATCCTGCTAATATGGCAAGATCCATAGAAGCTTCCGTGTGTCCGGCTCTTTTTAAAACACCACCCTCTCTGTACTTCAATGGGAATATGTGGCCAGGGCGATTGAAATCCTCAGGCCTTGACTCTTTTGATGCAAGAGCCAATATCGTTGTTGCCCTGTCTCTTGCTGATACTCCAGTGGTTGTATTATGTTTTGCATCCTACAACAAAGTTATTGTGAATTATGCTTATGCAAGTATCTCATACAATCTAGAGGTCAAAACATCAGTTCTTTTGCTTCCATGCAAATATCTTTTGAATCACTCCATATTTCACACAACTTCACAAAACCATTAGCTCTGAGTGCTTGTGCGAGTGTTGGAGTGTAGTCTTAACATAAAAAAATAAAAATAGGTAAAAAGTAAAACTAAAAACCAGATATCCGATGCATGGATGGAATATACAGGCTAAAAGATTTTTATTTCCAAACATAAATAGCAAGTATCCCTAGTTCAGAGTACTAGCTACTTAAACCAAAATCAAGAGAAAAATACATAAGAAAAGGCATAGGTGTAGAGTGTTTCTGTAAGGAGAAAGAAAGAACTTACCACCGAAATGGTGAATGCGGTACAAAGTTTCTCCTCATTTTCCTTGAGAGATACCATGAGAGGAAGCTGCAATCTTTCCAAGTCTTCCTCTTTCATGCTCACACAAACGATTCCAGTTCCATGCTTCACAAAGAAAGCCATGGCCTCCGGAGTAACTTTTGATGCAGCCATTATTATGTCTCCTTCATTTTCTCTATCTTCATCATCTACGACTACAACCATCTGCAATGTGGTCCAAAACGTAAAAGAAAAATTAAGAACACAGTGGCTAAATAGTTTAGCATTCACGAAACTAATAGTATCCATGAGATAAACAACCTTTCCTTGACGAATGTCTTCAATGGCCTCCGAAATAGATGAGAAACCTTCTGACGACTGGTCCAGGTCAAATTCATCATCTTTAACAGCAAAACCACTGGTTGTCAAAGCCATATCTGCTGCAAGTGCTCCAAAATCTACAGTATCAGGCTGTACTTCAACTCCGCCAGACACATCACTGATAAGAGCATTACAAGAAAATTTTTTGCCACTTGAATTGGGAAGAAGGCCACCTTCACCAAATAACACAACAGATTTAACTCTTCCATTGGCTTTTGTAGTGAATCCCACTTTAGCACTCCGACGATTAAAGGACTGTAGAGGGCAGCCATTCACAGAATACAGATTACCACAATGCAGTGAATCAAACAGTCTGGAAACTTTAAATCCCCTGCACAAGAAAAAGGTTAGCTACCAATTCGGATCATCAGGAAAAGCAAGATGGCCAAAGCTTTGAAAATCACCAAATTCTGCTCAAATCTAAAACACGAACCTTATTTTTTTTATTCCAACAAACATGTTTACAGTTCATTATGAACCCATATACTAACACATTTTCAGTTCTGCAAGATGTCCAAATTTCATGTCGACCGAATTGATAAAATTCCACCCATAAGGCTATGAGCCTATGACCCATTAGAGAGCTCTAATCAACACAGCTCACATTTTCAAGTATCTTTCTCTTTACCAATTTTCAAGCTTTTGGATCTAAACAAAACGTTTCTTATATCACAAATAAATAAATACAATCATATAAATAATATAATGAAACTCAAATCCATATCCGATGAAAACAATATATTCAATATTTTTTTGTCTGTGATTAAAACAAAAGATTTAAAAACGCGCGGAACAAAAGGCAGAAAAAACTAAATCCGCCAGAGAAAAATCAATTTGAAATCCCATCTTTACGAATCTAACCGATAAAGAACAAATAAAATAACAAAAAGGATTACAATAAGAATATGGAGATAGCTTACTGAGATCCACAAATGGTGGTTGCAGGGCAAGAAAACTTTAAAGAAGCCATGTTTGGTTTAACAGTGAAAGACCCAGATGGGAATATAGCTGAAGAGAAATCGATATTTTTGGTCAAAAAATTTGGGTTTGGGAGTTGGGACTCCCCATCTTAAAGAGGAGGAACAAATTATTATTTTTTTTCAAAGAAGAATGAAGAAACGACTAGGAAACAGAAACTGGTGAAAGAGAGGAAGAGAGAGAAAGGGAGAATATTCAGAGCGCAGGTGATATAACATTGCGTCACCAACCAATCACGGCTCACTACTCGTTTCTTCCGTAAAATGAAGTCTGAAAAAATTTATTTTTCATTTTGTACAATTTTCATTTTTTTTTTTTTGGGGGGGGGGCTGGAAACAGTTGGTTGTTAGTTGTTACTTTACATTTTCTTCTCAAAATAAAGGACGAGTTTCATCTTTTTAATTATTCGTTAAACAGTCACAATCTTTGTACTTATGTATAACTTTACTTACTCAACAATGCTATATGTAAAATTAGAGTTGATAATTTCGATTGACAACCACAAACATGAAAGTAAGACTCACGCTGAATAGAAAAATCATGGACCCCTCCTGCGAGCACGTTGTCAACCAAGGTTAGAATAATTCTTACTAAAAATCACTCAGCATATGCTGTTTTTTAGCTCTTTCCTGTCCTTTTTTTTTTTTCCTATGCCCACTATGAAAAAGGAAATTACAAAAAATGAAAATTCAACCGTTCTGACATTCTTGTTCTTAGGTTTATTTTGGCATGAAGTGAAACAGTAATAGCCCAATCAGATTTGACTGTCACCTATATGGAAACACACCCAAGGTGGCTGTAACGGGGTCGCTGACTAAATAGAAATGGAGCAGGAGCCATCCAAATTGGCAACTGGCACCCCACCAAAAACATATAGTTGCGGTGCATCAACTTGCTGCTGTCTATTTTTGACCCCTTTATCCCACTCTTTCGTGTTTGCTTCCTACCACCCATTGATCCCGTTGCCAATTTTTCCAGCGAGGATAGGGAAAGTCCTCCAGAGAATAAAGATTGCCACTTGGCCTCGACCAAATCTAAATATGTTTAGTCAAATTCAATCTAATTCATCATTATTTTTTAAGCTAGCTGCCAAAGAATTCATATATATTTTTTCTAAATTGATTGAGTCTCACTTTTCACCTTCATGTAACAGTGACAACACCCACACATTTACCGTAGTCCATAACTGGATTATGCAGACTACAAAATACAATAGACAGTGGAGAAAGCAATGGTGAATACTGTCACATATCTAGCACACAGAATAGTAGAATACCATCCAATTTCTCAAAAAATAAAAATAAAAATGACGCTTCTTCACTTAACCAAAAATCTTGATTTCACCATTATCATAATTCAAATGAAAGAAAAGAGAAAGTTATTACCTTTTTAACAATAGAAAACTATACAGCAATTCATATTACAAAAAGTCTACTGCTCCAATATTCTTATACTTCCTCAGCACGTTCACCCTTCAAGCATGTTTATGCCAGGAAATTCGTCGATGCAACTCAACTTCTCTAGAATTAGCCTTTCTTGCTTGGCATCTATACCATTTCAGTTAAGAATTACAAAAGATCCACTCAAAACATTTTCATCAATCTTAAAAGAGTTGTTTTTATAATAGACTACAGTTAAGATCTACCAATATGGTCAGACATTAAAGTAACTCATGTCATACTTCTAGGAAAAGCTCAAACAACCTTTAAACAAAATGGTACTTGTACCGAAAATCAACGCAGCAAATTCACCTTGATGCCTAGTAAAGAACGAGCAGATGGGAAAGAGCTAGAGATCATTAAAAGTACCTAATCCAGCTTATCGATTGCTTAACTAGTCGAGGGGGAAAGAAAGGTTTAAGAGAAGCCCTCCTTTCATGCTAGGATTGGAAATCTTGTATTTTACAAATCCATAAGATTGAGCCTTTGGGTTTCTAAAATGGAATACACATGTTATGATGCCTCCAAGTCTTGGGAAAATATTGACAGTTTCACAATAAAAAATTTTGGCATTTGTATATTGCAGCATCACATTCTACAGGGATTCTGTATATGTATTTGAATTATGAAAATATCGTGTAAGGATACATTCTTCATCAGGGTTTTCTGTAAAATTGGAGTGCAACGCATTCCCAACGTTATCAACAATAGCTGAAGTGGTCATGGATGATTCAATGCATAATATGGCAGTGATTGCGTCTAGACGAGTAACCTCATTTCTAAACATCAACCTTGCATGCGCTGTGTCACATTGGCAAGTTAGATAAATGGAGGTAAAACATAGGCAACGCTATGTGGAGAATTGTACCTTGAGCAAGTCGTATCAAACTTTCCAGCATGCGCACAGTTGTTCTCGCTGTGATACTATGTGTTAGAATACATAATGAAAAGAGAAAGGGAAAATCAGAATGCCATAAAATAAGCTAGTTGAGTTAGGTAAACCTGCATTATGCGTAGCGGATCTTCTTTGGAGTTGATAATAGCTAGAAATAACCTTTTCAGCCTCCTTTGTAAGGACTGGCCTAAAATATCCCTTCACAAAGTGTATGTACCTGCAAGCACCCTATATGGTCTACTTTTCAAAATTTTCATTTTAAATTAACCGGTGACACAAAATTGAAGATACTAGCCATAATTCATAAGCTTATTCAGTTCATACTTTATTGATGCCTTCCCCACTGAAATTAACCATACAGAATAGATATACTACAGGAGGCAATTTGATCAAAAATTTGTATTATTTTTACTAATGCATTCCCCACAAAAAGAAAAGAAAGGACATTTACAGAAGGAAACCATTTCCTGCCATACAAATATACAAAATGATTAAACAGGCTCTATTGTGATCAGGTGCTCCCTCCATCACTAAAAAGAAGTCCTTGACTATCCAAAGTTCATTGACAAAGCTTTCAAATCATCATACCTATTGCTTTAATTTGCATAAGAAAAAAAATAAAATAAAACAAAATTGAACAGATGAGAAACTTCACTATTAGTGAAATGCTATATAAAAAAATAAAATTAAATTAATGGTTTGAGAAGTTGTCAATTTGATTTCGACCATTGGAGAGGGCCACTTTTCTTGGGATTGAAGGAGTGCTGCAAATGATATGGTGCAAATTCATATGAACAGAATAAATCCAAGATGTTAAATACATATGGTAATCTATAACATTCTGTTCAAGCTGAACTAGATATATCTCAACCGTTCAAGAGCTGATTAACTGATTGTTTATATGAAGAGCCAAAGAGAAATGTATTAGCCTGAATGTTGAGGTGTTTCCAAGAATCTTACCTTCTAAGCAGGGGAAGAGGCCAACTATTTGTTAGATTTTCATCAGAGTTGCCTTTACCTGATTCTGCTTGCTAATCAATGCAACAAAGACACGAAATTCAGATCAATCCATTAAATGCTTCATTACACAATGGTAAGCCATTAAGTTTGATCTTAGAATTATTACCTCAAAAAGAATGTGCGACGAAACAACTGCATCCCACTCTGGATTCTTTGTGTCTAAGAGGACTAATACTATATCAAATCTGCTTAACAAAGGTCCAGAAAGTGTGGTGTTGACAGATAGAGCTAGCTTTAATTAAGAAATAAAACAGTATAAACTATTCGTTGAGAAATCAAAAGGCTTGTGCTTCAAATAAAAACTGTCTTTCAAACTACCTAGAAAAATATTAAGTTCCATTAACAGAAAGGATACGTTGATCAGGATCATAGTGTCCTTTCGGATTTGTTGCGCCAAAAACAATTGTTCTTGTGCTGAGCGTTGTTACAAGACCAGCCTGAAGTTTTAATTTATTTGAACAGTCATTTCAAAATATTGGCAGACAGAAATATAAATAAAATGCTAAAACTAAGGAAAATCTAATTTAATTTCTTCTAACAAACTAACCTAGAGAAGCATACAGATCTAGGAAAATACTTTTGCCATTGTACAGCTCAATACTCACAGAATATTAGGCAATCATATATGCTTTGAAAAGAGAGTAGAGAGTAGACGCTGTACAAGGCTCCCATGATTATGAGATCGCCAGATGATTGGATATCGTAGCCTCACATTGCAAGTTGGGGGGCAGTTTTCCCTACTCACCCATGATCTCTATTCTTTGCTACTCGGTATACGAAAAATATATATATATTCTATGTCATAAATAAGTTGCATGTCTGATATCACATATTTATATACATAATGTAAACTCAAAAATATGCTGAACCTTCTGCTACAGAAAGAATACAAGAAACAAGATATTGTCCTAGAAAGCAGTATGTTACAGCTTTTACAGAGGTAGTCAAAATACCTTGGCTACACTTATTGTTTGCTGCTCCATAGCCTCATGAATGGTTGCTCTATCGTGTTCCCTCATGCTATCAAACAAAAAAAAAAACAAAAAAGTGTTGTAACTGTAAAATGCTAAAATAAAAAGAGAATTACTTTAGTTAGAATGTAGATTAAACAACACGAACGGCTTATCATTCAAGCATGCCTTACAAAACAACAAAGACAGTTTTTTCACTTTCAAAGAGGTGAAGTGCGAAATGGGATGTGAATATTTGTTAGCAATAACATTAACGAAAAATAAAATACAAAACAATACTAGATTATTGGACACTTTTCCCTTTTTGTTTGCTAAATGAGATCTTGGGGAAGGGTTTATGTAACTACCATAATTTATTATGGAATATCTGATCAAGGACTTCCATGTATAGTTAAGCAACCTCTGATTAAAGATGCCATAGACATTGTAAAGCTATATCTTCAAAATGTTAATCTGCAAGTGAAAAAAGTTATCTTTTGCTGGTTTCTTTCTTCCAGCACGTTAATGTGATGTCATTCAGAGGCAGTACCTGTCGAACTCATCTATGCAACAAAGGCCGCCATCTGCCAATACAAGGGCCCCAGCTTCTAACATCCATTCCCCTGAAATTTTTTCTAATGTTTTACAACAAGAAAAATATATACATACAAATATTTATAAAGCAAAAACTATTGAGATGCCAAAATTATCTGCTCAAATAAATGAAAATATCTATTCTGTGAGGCACTGGATGGATCTAAATGACACTCAGAGAGAAACCAAATAGCTGGTAAAGTTAATAATACCTCCATCCTTGACTGCAGAAACAGTCAATCCAGCACTAGTACTTCCTAATCCAGTTGTAATAACGGATCTGTTGCTCAATTTAGCAGCGAACTTCAAGAACTGAGACTTTCCAGTTCCTGGTAGAATCAAATTTACTATACATTTTTAGAAGTTATTGACAAAAAACTAGCTTTGAGAACTATGCTTCTAAAATTCTGAAAAGAATTAAAATTGCTACAAGAATCCATGAGTCCTGAAAGGACAATTTAGACTTTGAGAGAAAAAACCTTGCTCAGCAGTCGGCACTTAAATCAGATCAGTAGCTATGTCACACAAAGCAGGCAGTGGTACAGAAATCAAATGTTACCAGGATCTCCAACCAGAAGCAAATGAGACTCCCCACGAACTTTTGTCCCAGAAGCGTCAACATGTTGGACACCACCAATAAGTGTTAGGGCAACTGCATGAAATAGAACTTCATGTTGAATCACCATAATCCTAAGATTGCAAAATTTTTTCAACCATTAAATAGCAGAATTCGGTGGGAAATACCTGCAAGCTTTACAGTGAAGAGTCCAAACACCTGTGGACAGATACCTCGTAGAATGGCATTCCTGCCTGAAACACTTTGAGATGAAATAGGCATATAGAACCCATAAATCAAGTATATAGCATATATTACTAATATCTGTTACCTTTCAGTGGGGCATCTTTAAATTCCAACCAAAACTGCTTGAATTTTAAAATAACATCATCAGGGATATCGATACTTGACTTTAGCTCATTCATCCTCCTGAAGACAAAAGTAATCAAGGTAGAAATAGTTAGACGATGAGAGGCAGTTCCATTTGTCAAACTAAGTAAATTATCACCTTCATAACTATACATTTTTGCAACCAGTTGTAAAGGCATCAAAATGTGATGTAAGGTTTCTGCAAGCTATGAGAATTTAGTCCTCAATTTACCATTTCTTCTCAATTGCATATGTATAATATCATGTGAAAAATAAGTAAAGAATAGGAGAAAATAAAAGAAACTACGTCGTTTACCTCACATGGTTAGCAATTAATACAGGATCAAGGTCACAACGCACGCCCTTCATATCAGAGGACCATTTTGCTGTCAGAACCCCAGTAACTATCACATCATCTGAAAGATAAGGCAGAAAGATAATTATGCATCAATAGCGTATATATGGAAAGATAATTATGCATCAATAGCATATATATGGAGTGTAAATATAAGTAGCAGTGGAAGGTATTAAAGCACAATGAGGAAATGTGTAGAATTAATGTAATATTGTAATGTTTTTTTGGGCGATGTGGGATGAGACTGAAGGCACCAAATAAAGCACGAAATACAATAAACTAAACCATTTCTCTGTGTGAGAGAAAAAGAAAGAAGCAATTCGCTATGCCAGCTATGTTTCACGGATACTTGTACTAGGATAGTGTGTCTATGTCTAACATGACACTCTATCATGATCATTTTTTTCTTTATCAAAAATATTATACGTTTTTAACTCAAAGTTATTATTAAATAAAAATAAGTACTCTTATTTTTTTAATTTTTTTAATTTTATTACTGTAGGTATCCAGGCCAGCTTACGCTCACCTCAACTAATCTCACTAGACCCTGAAATTTACAGTCAGGTACTCACTTAATGGCCCTAAGGGAACTCGAACTGGTAACCATTAAGGAGCAAATCCAAAAACAACAAGTATAAAATTAAACTTATATTATATAAATGAAGAATTTTAAGATTTAATCAACGCTTCGCAACAGTAATTTTTATAAAAATCACGTGTTGACGTACCCGACACGTATGCGTTAGTGCATCATAGCATGCCAGTTAAAATTATAAAAAGCGACTAAGTTTCTCTACAAGTATATAACATCCAAATTAATATTTTTTAAGTAGTTATGCATCTATTCCTACTAGCATTTGTTAAACACAGCAAGCACCAATTACATTTTTCCCTTTTGGATAATCTGGAGAAGATCACCCCACCTTATAATTTCATTGCTCATTGTTGAATTTGAAAGTAATTAAGCTACAAACTGAGGACTTTGCACTAGGTCTCAAAAACATACTTGTGGTGAGGGGATAACTTCCTTAGCAATATGCAAATTTTGAAATATCCCAGGAAGGCAAGTAAAAAAGATAAGGTCGTCGTAATGTGTACCTCCAGCTTTAACTATGTCAACAAGATCATCCTTCAGAATAACCGGAATTGAACGAGGGATAGCTCCAACACCCAAAACCTGAGTACTTTCTTGGATTTTAATTTCCTGATAATCATGACATATTTTGGTGTCTTCTACAATCTGGAAACGCGTGCTTTCACAATTCTACGTGAAACAAGATCAAGATCACAAGAACTTAAGAAAATTTTCAAATCTAAAATACATGCAAAATTAAATTATATTTCAATTGCCTGGGATCAAGCAGCAAAGTTGAACTGTTTCGCAGTCTTTACAAGCTAGGCTCAAGCGAGGCTAAAAATAAGTTCAACCTTTTCCGAGCCTGATCCAGCTTAAATACTCAAACAAGCAAGGTCAAGCTTGATTAAGGTTAGCTTGTAGGCTTGTTAGCTTTAATTGGTCCAGTTCTGAACGTGTGGACAATAAAACAGACCTGAGAGGGGCAAAATGTTGGCTTGGGTATGGAATTTCTAGTTTCGACTTCTGGGTGAACTTTGAACCTGCATGCAACTTTTTAATTTTAGCAGATAAACAGTTTAAACAATAATTCCATCACGTATTAAAGGAGTGACTGCCATGGACCAGGGCACCACTAAATTTTTTGAAGTAACCATTATAGAGGTATTTGATTTTATTATAACCAATTTTAATGTATTTCATATTCTGAACACCTATCCCCTCCCCCTGTGCCGCCTTTCCTGAACAAGGCTGATCTCATTAGTTATTCGATGAGCTAGGAAAGAATACACCCCGTGCGCATTGTGCAATTAAAAATCATATAGAGGCTAAATTATGTGTATAGCAACAGAGACGTGGAGTGGAAGCACTACCATGAATCAGTGGATCATGATGAATTTATAATTGGAAGAAGTGATCACTTTGGATACTAAAAGAAATTCCTTGCATAAAGCTATCGTGTTTGCAGATTCTTGCATGATGTAGTCTATAATCGATTTTTTGTCAACTAATAGCAGCATATTGTACTTTCATCATATCATTTTTCATGTATCCCTGATTTTTCAAATTTATGCCCAGGATAAAAGACAAGCCTATTATAATAGATAGTTTGATAGCTAAAATATTCAAAGAAATTAAGTTGCAAATGTAGTTAAAGGAAAATGTTAGAACATCATGAAGCAGACCACTCGGACCTGTGTTTACATATTCGACATTCATAAATCTTCTCTCCTTCAATCATCTTGACTGCTCCTGACCTGATTACTGTCCCTTTGAGGGTGAGAAGAATCCCACGGTGCTTCACTCTCACACGTCCAATACTTGGAAATGTTTCTAAAACATTCAAAGAAGATTAATACATCCATCAATGTATATTATTATTTTTTTTTTTACATCTATCAATTTAAACATAAAGAGAATCCCCAAAAAAATAGCCCAGAAAATCCAACATGTTTAAGCATAGAATCAAAGGAAACTAACCAGGGCATTCGAGAGGAGAACCACAGACATTAACACGAACGTGTACATATTCCTTCACAGTTGCATTTTCAAATTTCTTGAAATCCTCGAACATCACTTTCTACACATTCCAACAACAAATCACATACACACAATCTACAAAAAATAAAAATAATAATAATAAAATAAAATAAGTTGGGGGGGGGGGGGGGGGGAAAAGGCAAAAAGAAATAAAACCTGAGCCCAAATCGCTGATTCGTCAAAAAGTGATAAATATTCAACGGAATGTGAGAAAATGTGGTTGGCGAGATGCGGGTTCTCATCCATTAACTCTGCAAAACTGTTGAAAAATGAGAAATTCTGCTATGGATCCATCAATTCGAATATCAAAAAATTACTTACTCAATAAGTATAGGATAGTGAATTCGAGGGTCAGGAGAGAGGATTATGGACTCCAGCTGCTTCGAGTGATACTTTATCAAGAATCCGGCCAGTTCTTTTCTGGGTTCACTTTTATCCTCCATCACGATCGGTGAGCGCGAGGAGAGGGAAGGCGTTGGAAGAAGAAAAAGGAAGTGGAGGCGCGTTTGGGCGGGAACGAATATATACATGAGGGTTATTTTTCACCGGCGGTCATTGTACTTCCACCTGAGTTTTAATTGAATCATTATGCTTTAGTTTGTGATTATTAAGTCATTATACTTTCATTTTGTATAAACTTGATTTGAATCACTATATTTCAATTTGTGTGAATAGGATCTTAAATTTTACTCCAAGATCATTTCTTTGTGTGTTCCGAAAAATAATAAAATATACCACATTGTTAATACTTTTTCATGTTCAAGGAGTAAAAAAGTTTCTTAATAGTGTAGATTTTACGTTGCAAATAGGGTTCAACAACAATACTAAATATTGTATCCGAGAACAAATCAAACAATACAAAGCCAACACAATTCGAATGTTGGGATGGCAAGACATAAAAATCCATAGACGATCAACGCATAGAATTCTTAATCATGCCAAAATCTAGTAATTGATAATCATATCAACATTTGATGACAATCATCATAACAGAATTAGATGAAGTGATCCAATTTAAGACAAAATTACAGTACAATGATCCGATATGATATTCCTCCCCTTCTAATGCCCACCCGTGTAGCTTATCGGGTTCTCTTCTCACTTTGCCAAATAATAAAATGTAAAATTCTATATTGACTCAAAGAGGTATTGGAGTTTAAACCCCGCTTGTCTCCCTTTAAAATGATAATTTGTGTTTTAGTATTTAACCGAATGAAGATCTTAAAATTCATAAAAGTGAGGCCATACGACAGAATCTTGGAGTTAAATTCTTTGTATTTGTAATTTTCATCCCCAGGCATAAAATTTGTCGACATTGCCACTTGGCATTTAGACTAAAGCGTTACATAGCTTCGATTTTGTAAAAACGAAAACAAGAAAATATAATGCTTATTTAATAGCATTAAATTGGCTTCATTCAAGAGTCACGAGAGTGACATGGAGAAAAGGGCCAGTTCTTAGAATTTTCAATCTTCATATGCAGATTCAGTGGATCTAAAATCCGAGTCCTTGAACCCTTAAATCCAAGCATCTCTTGCATCAGATTTCAACATTCTCTGTATGCATGGCTTCATCTGTGGCACATTGTGAAGAGAAAAACACGATGTTTGAAACTTGTGGGTCATCATTTGATTCAGAAACACTTGATTTGGTTCCTTGCAATGGAGTTTACTTGACATGGAAGGACCTTTGGGTCACAGTTTCGATCCGAAAAGATGGCATAAAATCAATACTTGAAGGGCTAACTGGCTATGCTTGTCCCGGTGAAGTTTTGGCAATTATGGGCCCTTCTGGTTGTGGCAAGTCCACTCTTCTTGATGCTTTGGCTGGTAAATGGTTTTTATCTCTTCTTTTTTAATGCTGCTATTGAAATGGCTTTGCACCCAAGCATGTCTGCGGAGCGTTTATAAACTGTTTAAATTATAAATAGCCAAAAATAAGTGGTGAAATGGGAGGGCAATACTTTTGCATCTCTCGAAATGTGTTGATAAAAAAGGTGGCTTTGGTGCAGTCATCTTATTATTATATTTATGTGGATGTGTTCCATCTCTTTGTAATCTTGTTTGGAAAAGGTAAGATTGTTGTGTGCAGGATTAAGACTGTGATTCCTACTCTTATTTTATTTTATTTTTTCATTTTTGGGCATGAATTCTCTCGTGCTGAATACTGTGGCACCGATTTCAGGTAGACTAAATTCAAGAACAAGACAGAAAGGAGAAATCCTGATAAATGGTCGGAAACAGAATCTGGCATATGGAACATCAGTATGAGCTATTCCGCCACTCATTTGATTGGTTAATCTATTTTATAAAAACGTCCAGGCATTTGTTCTTCGTTCGTTCTACTAACATAAGCCCCTATTTGGGCTCCAATAAAATGTTTTTTTTTTTTTTTTTTTGGGGAGGGGGGGGGGGGGGGGGGGGG